ATCGTTTGCTTTTTGATTCTGCTCAGAATCTCGGCTGTGAAAAATAATGTGTATGGAGGAGCTTTATTTAAAGCAACGGTTTGGAGCATGCCTGTGATTCCAGCACCTCAGAGGCTGAGGCAGGAGGATCACTGCCAGTTGGAGGCTAGCCTGGGCTCTATATAGTGAGTTCAAGACTAGTCTGCACTACACAGAGTGAGACCTTGTCTCAAAAAATAATAAGAAGAAGAAAGTAGTGGTTTGTAAATATTTTCGAGTTTTGTGTAATAAAGTCCCGTCCCCTGCCAGGTTCTTATAAAGAAATCACTGCTACTGGACTGAGGCTGGGGGCAATAGCCCCCCACTTCCTGCCAAGGTCCCTAAACTTAAGCTTTCCTAACTACCACCTTTTGAGTCTCTAGCTAGTGCCATGGAACCTACTTTGAGAATCACTGACCTGGCGCCTGGATTGAAGATTTAGTCACCATTTTCTACGGCGATTTCCATAAATATCAAGCAGGATCTCAACAAGTAAAAAAAAGGCTTTAGGACTGTTTTCTGGCCCGCCAAAACTCAAGCCTGCCTTCCCTTTGCAGACTAGATACACACGTGGATTCTTTTGAGAATTCAATCTGGTGTAAATGAGGGGCCAACAGGGACTCTGCTGGGCAGGTGCTGGAGCAGGAGGTCTGCGGCTGAGATTTGCTTCTGCCCTAGGTCTTTCCAGGAGAAGACCAAGCAATCGCCTCACGCCTTGCTCAGGAAGAGTGGAACCCGCAGCCTCATTTTTTCATGAGAAAGAGAATATTTTGATATTTTGAGTATTGATCTTATCTTTTATCACGTCCCCTACTTTTGCTTTCATTTCTTATCTTTTTGTTTTGTAAATGCCTTGTTTTATTGTGTTGGTTGGTGCCGGCATGCCTGCTCTCTCCTGATCCTGGTGTGAAGTGGAGCAGAGCATAATAAAATAGGTACCTTGAAGCCTCTCACCGCACCGGTAAAGTGCTTTCTGGTGTGCCTTGGGGAACAAGAAATCATCCAATAATGCTCCTTGCCCATGAGGGGTTTGCAGCCTTGATGGCAACAACGTAAGAAAATTCCTATAATAATCCACATATGATGGCGTATGCCTGTAATTCAAGCACTCTTGGAGGCTGAGGCAGGAGGATCTCAGATGCGAGCCTAACCTGGGAAACTCAAGGAGACTTTGTCTCAAAATAAAAAATATAAAAGGGCATAGGCATGTTGCTCCGTATGAAGAACCTGGGTTCAATCTGCACTCCCAAATAATAATAATAAATTGCCCCAATCAGCAGATATCAATAAAAGAGAGATATTTAAAGGGCCCTAGATCTGCGAGAGGTATTGTTAGCCAGACAGTCGTTTAGGTCCTTGTAGCTCAACATTTACCTGGACAGGTGATCCAGGCTTCAGATAACTCTGACCCCAGCCTCGAGCAGGGCAGGGAGGCCCCGGGCGTGGGCTGGCCACCTGAAGACACCTGTGGAAGGGGCCCAAGTCCCTGCCTTTTGATGGCAGCCTCAGAGGAGATCTTGGATCCACAAAAACAGGATTGTTTGTCCTTTAGCTGACTCCCACGGTGCCTAGACTTCCCCGGATGGACGCAGATTCCTTAACCCCCAAATCTCTACCCAGCCGGCTCGGATGGGAGGGGGCGAAATCCAGAAGCCTGAGTCCTCGGGGTTCCCTGGGCTTCCCTTCTTGCAGCCTTTGGGTCCCACCGTGAGGCAGGCCACAAGACAGGTCACCCTGGTGTTACAGTCTTCTGTTCGCCTTTTCTGGAATCACCAGGAAAGTACCTCAATCTCTTTCTTGGTAAAGAAAAAGCCCAGGAGGATGGAAAAGACGTGCGGCTGAGCCAGAGGGGAGGCAGGCGGAGCTGGGAAGAGCTGGGATGTGCTTCTACTTGACTGTAATTTCAGTCTGGATCCTGATTGTGTACAAATAGCACCTGTCAACGCCCCAGGCCCCTGGAGTCCCGGGCACCTTTGAAATGTTCATTAGCTCGTGAGCCAGCTTCCCTCTCTCTTCCGCCCTACCTTTCCTTCCCTGTCCTTTTCTATTTCTCCTTCTTTCCGAATTCTCCTCAGAGCCCTCCAGCCCAGCTTCAAGCTGCAGGCTGGAATTCCATTCTTGACTTTATCACTGATCCAATTGCATGCACTGGACTTTGGCTTTCCTCCTTTGAAATGGGTACACTCGTACAAGAAAATAATGTTGATGGAAACTTTAAGAACCTCAGGGACTGGATTGTAGGCATTTTACACACACACACACACACACACACACACACACACACACACTAATGTGTCAGCCTCTGGGCGGAGCAGGAACAGCACAATTCCTCAGAACAAGCTGGACAGGGAACATCTCTTCCCTTGCCTGCTGGTAGCTCTACTTGGATATTTGGCCGAGTGAAGCTGCTTAAGGAATTCGCCCACAGCCACCTCTCTCCGGCCACTCCTGAGCACACACAGGCTCCAGATTCTTTCAAGGGAGGAGCTTCCAGCCCACAAGCAGGGGCAGGGAACGGGTACTTTGCTTCACGCTCTGCACCCAGGATGCAGGTCCGAGCTTGCTCCTCACCCCAGGCCAGTTTTGTTCTTGGGAAGCCTTCCCTGAACATCAGCAGACCCAGAGAAGCTGCCCCCAGCAAGCCCGAAATCAGTGTTTCTGGGCCTGATAAAGTGTTCTAGCTGCCTCCTTGTTATCACAGGCAGGATTGCTGGCCGTGGTGGAGTCTGAGCGGCGGAGAGGGCAGGGGTGCAGGGGACAAGGGATGTGTGCAGTCTAGTGGCTAAAGAGAGAACAAAGCCAGATGGGGTGGCACCAACCCGGAATCCCAGCACTCTGGGAAGCTGCGGCAGGAGGATCTCAAGATCAAGCCCAGTGTGAGCAACCTAGTGACTTAGACCATGTCCCAGAAATTTTAAAAATCAACAAAAGAGCTGAGAGCATAGCTCAGGGTGAAGGCCCCGAGTTCCATTACATCCTTAGTACTGAGAACAGAGATGAGTTCAAAAGCCACCCCTACCTAAAGATTTTGCATCCCAGCAAACATTGTGCACCATGTCTGTTGTTCCCTTGTGTACATCCAGTCTCTTTTCTTCAGGAAAAAAGCAAACAGTCCGTGTTATGTGGGGCGCTGGCCTCCTTCACTGCTCAGCTCCTGGGAGGGAGTGCCGTCCACCAGAGGGGCTCGTCCTCCTCTGGCAAAGAGGTGAGCTCTTGATCAAGGCCGTGCCCGATGTGGTCTCGCAGAAATCTTAAGGGCCCCGGAGTTTGCAGCTAATGCATGTGGGCCTCTGTGCCTTGAAGAGACAGGCTCTTGGCGCCTAGGTCTGCAGGACCCTCTGATCCCGCCCACTCTGGGGACTCTTCCTTATCTATAACTTCATCTTGTGAAATGTTCCTGTGCCCTTCTCATACTCCCTTCTCTGACTTTCTTTTCTTCCTCCTCCCTCTTTCCCTCCCTCTTTTTAATTATTAATTGACTGACTGATTGGTAGAGTCAGGGTCACCCTGTGTTGTCCAGGCTGGCCTTGAACCACCTCAGCCTCCTGAGAGCTGAGATTACAGGCGTGGCTCCCACCAACCATCCCCTCCCTCTTTTTTCCTTAAGTTGGTCAGAGTCGACTTCTTTCTTTGGCCACGGGAGAACAAAGTAAGAGAAGGAACCTTGGAAGAGCACGGGGACATTTCACAAGGTAGAAGTGATGGACAGCGAGCGGCTTGTACCAGACTTGTCTGTCACAAATATAAGAAATTTTTTTCCAGCTGGACAAAATATATGAAATCACTGTTTTCAGATGCTGCAGGATGACAACAGAGCAGGGCTGTGCGCCTTGGGAGAGGGAGGTAAAGGAAGTGAGTCCCAGGGTTGTGCTGGATTTCTGCCTGGAGGTATCTGTTAGTTGGGGCCTAGGAAGGGGAGTCCAAGGCAGAGTACACGGCCTCTCTGAATGGAGGAGGTGTGTTGTGATAGGTGGAGACTGAGGGCATGGAATCCATGAAGCAAAATCACAGAGCAGGTGCCACGTGGATAAATGTACCAAAAATCCATCCAGGGAACCGCCTGAGCCATCAGCTGAATACCAGATTGCTCAAGCGCTGGATAAAATGCCACAAGGCTGGCAAATGACTGGGGAGTGTATTAACTGTCAGCCATGTAATTCCCAAACACCTATGGACCTGGGAGACATTCAAGCTTTAGCAAAGCAGGATGAGAACAATTTGTTGAACATGCAAGGCGTTCATGAGAGACCACAGTGAATCTACATCTAAGTAGTAAGGCTAAAACAGTCTCCAAAGAAAGACTTCTCCAGACCCAGCAAAATGAAGCTTAAAAATAAGCCTCAAAAAGTCAAGATGATCAGGTAATTTAACTGGAGGCCAAAATAAACTTCAAAGGCGAAAAAGGACGGTGGGCATTCAGTGTAACACGCACATTGTCTAGCACCCAGTAGAAAATCTCTAGACACCTGAAGAGCGTGGAAATGTGGCTCGCAATCGTAAGAAATACCATAGTCCCGAGTGACCAAGCTGAGCTTAAGGCAGTGACTTTAGGATACTTATGAAAATATGGTCAAAGACAGAAGAATACAGACGCAGGAGAAGCTGGAGATGTTCTAAAAAGAACAGCACAGGCGCCTGCAGAGAGGAGAAACATTTTTTACAAGACACAAATTCACCAGATGAGTTTAGTAGCATTTTAATAACTGCAGAAGGAAAGAGAGTATAATCATAGAAGTTATTCACACCGAAGAAGTGTGAGAAAAAGAAATAAATATCAGAGCATCAGGTGCCCAGGCAACGATACCGGATAGACCACTGTCATGGTTTATGTCTGTGTCCCCCAGGCCTCAAGAGTTTGCATTGTGCATTTGTGATTGGTTCATTGTCTAGTGCTTGGATTGATGGTGTCAGTGCTCCACCCACAAAGGGGTGGAGCCAGGATGTGATGTAATGGCAGGAAGAAGGTGTGTCTTGCTCTTTGCTGGTTCCTGTTTGCTGTTTGCAGCCACCATGAACTGCAGCCCCTCCATGCCCGCCTGCCTTGGAGCCAACTGAGTGTGGACTGAAACCTCCAAAAACTGTAAGAAATAAACCTTTCCTTTCCCAACTTGGGCTTCAGGTATTTTGTCTCAGCAACGAGTAAAAAGTAACCAAGACAACCACCCTGGGTGCACTTGGAGCCTACTCGGGAGACAGGAAGAGAAAGGTTTCCAGCTTTAATACATAAAAGCTATAGCACTACAAGTCCCAGAAGCCCAACAGATCTCAGGCAAGATACATATAGTGAGAAGACATCAAAGTACATCACAACCAAATCTCTTAGAATTAACAATAAAGGGAAAGATATGAACAAGCAGTTTAGGTTAAAAAATGGCACATCACATAAAAATAACAAAGGTAAGGATTATCACTGATTTCTGCTAGAAAGAATAAGGAGACAATGAAATGAAATCCTTAATGCACTTAATTTTTTAAAAAAAGCTGTCAACCAAGAGTCAATGCCCAGTGAAAATATACTCTAAAATCGCAGGGGGAAAATGTTTCACAGATAAACAAAAGAGGGTGGGATTTGTTCAAAGCATTTCTTTCTCAGGCTGAGGGAGACCATTACCAGATGGAAACTCAGGATCTATATGAGAAAGGATGCGTGCCAGAAATCATAAATATGTGAGTAAATAAAAGGGGCTTTAGTATTCTTGTTTTGTTAAAATGTCTTCAAGTTATTCAGAGTCAGACTCCCCTGGCATTTCAGAGTCTAGAATCAACATATAGAACCGAGAAACTCTATGGGATTTCAGATACCGTTTTGTCTCAGAAGCGTGTCTAACAGAATGCTAGCATTTGTCAGTTATCTGCTCAGCAGATACGTGGTTAACTGGTACACTTACTTATCTCTCTCTCTCTCTCTCTCTCTCTCTCTCTCTCTCTGTTTTCTTTCCTTCTTTCTAGTGCTAGAGATTGAACCTAGTAGTGCCGAGCTACAACCTGAACCCTTTTTACATTTTTCAAATTTTGACACAGAGCCTTCCAATGTTATTAAGTTGCCCAGGCTGCTTCTGAACTTGTGATCCTTCTGCCTTAGCCTCCCAGAGTGCAGGAAATAGACACATGCATCACCATACGTCACCAGGCTTGGCTTCAAAGTCTAAAACTTCTTAAACCAGGGGTGGTAGTGCATGCCTGTAATCCCAGCACTTGAGAGGCTGAGGCAGGAGGATTATAATGAGTTTGAGGCCAGCCTGGCCACACGGTGATTTTGGGGGCAGCCTGAACTGCATGGCAAGACCCTGAGTTTAAAAAATCAAAGAAGAAAAAGAAAAGAAAAGAAAAGATAAAGAAAGAAAGAAAGAAAACAACAATGACAAACACAAAGTCTGACCTGATGCTCAAAACTTTTCCATTTTGGTAACTTGAACAACTATTTCTAAGATGACAATATGCAATCTATTAACTAGTGATTTCTTACCATTTTTTTTTTGTAATTCTGTATTACTTGTACCTTTATACTGTTTTTGTTTTGTTTTTCTTTTTTTCCTTTTAAATAAAAAATTAAAAAAAAAAAAAAACTGTCGAGATTCTCCCTGTACCCCTCATGTCTGTGTCTGTGGCTTTGTGTCATCCCTGGGGAGTGGCAGTGGTAACCCCCAGCAGTTTCAGCTTGTAACCTACCGCATACCAGAACCAAGAAGCAGCAGGTTTCCCCTCTCCAATAGGTGGGACAATTCCAGTTGATTGAGCCATGGTGGATCACACGCCTATCCCTGAACTAACAAGCTCTGACTCTGATTGACCAGGCCTGGATCATAACCTTCCCCCAGAGCAAAGAGGCGGAAGAGAGCTGGTCTCCCATCAAAGATGGTGTCACAGGTGTGATTGGACAAAATAAGGCATCCCTGTACTCACCTGCAACCTGGAGCAACAGGACCACACACACACAAACACCCCACCCACACAGAGCTTGGCACAAAGTAACTCCCTTCCCGTCTATAAGCAGGTCATTGAGGAAACCGAGGGTCAGAGTGGTTAAACTCTACTCCAGCCCACACAGCCAGCGGGAGCAGAGTGTGCTTCTAAGGCCTGCTCTTAACCTGCCTCAGGGAGTGGAGACCAGTTAATAGATCATACACACATCCAGGCTTCTCTCCACCTCTGAGAGCCCTGTTCTGCAATCCCAGCTCTCTGAGAAGCTGAGGCAGGAAGGGTACAAGTTCTAGCCCAGCCTGAGCCACTTGGAGCAAGACTCTCTTTCAAAATAAAAAAAGTTTAAAAAGGCACGGAGCTCAGTGTGAAGGCTCTGGGTTCTATCCCAATACTGGGGAAAAACAAAAAACAAAAACTGGCCAGGATTTGGCTAAGCGAGGGGTAGAGCGCTTGCCAAATCCTGACAATGCACAGAGCATCGGCCTGCCTAGAGGTGATTACCAAACTCCGGAGAAAGGAAAGCGCAGGGTGCTGGCATAGGAGACCCTGGAGGTGTCTCCAGACTGCCCAGAGAGAAAGGGGGGCACAGAGAGGAGCCGGTGCCTGGAGTCAGGGTGGCCCAGTTAAGGTCCTGTGGAGGGACAATCCTTGGCCTGCTGGATCCAGCCTTGGGCTTCTTCTCTCCCTTGGCCTTCTCTCTGAGTGTGTGTGCGTGTGTGCACACCCGTGTGTCCCTCAGCCTCCCTCTTGTAGGTTTAGGGCCCATGTAGGGAGTCCAGGATGATCTTCAGATCTTTACATCAGCTGACAATTGCAACGACATTTTTCCAAACAAGGTCACATTCTGGTACCAGGACATGGACTTTTTTGTTTTTGTTTTTTTTTGCTGGGGGGGGGGGTCCTATTAAACCCATCACGGTGGAAAAGCAGCTTACTTTGCTCCATTGTAGAGCCATTTCTGGGCTAAACAGCAAACCTCAAGAGACCAGGACAGAGCCACAGTCTCCGTGTGTTCAGGAGCCATGATGGAGGGTTTTTTAAAAATCTTTTTTTTAATCTCTTTTTTTTTCTTGACGGTGCCTCTTGTACTGTTTGACACTTTTCTCTTTGTTTTGAGGTTTTCTGCCCCCTTTTCTGGAAGGTGCGCGATGCTCAGCTCTGTGGTTATTTTCGCCTACCAGCTGTGTTTCCGGGAGCAGCGGAGGGATTCTTCTGACTCAGCAGAACCCGAGCCATAACTGTCTCGAAGCCATTCAAGCAAGGCTAGAAATAAAGAAACCGTTTGGTCCGCTCCCCCTCTTTCCACCTCCCTCCCCTTTGGGTACCTTCAGAAAGTCTCACAGGGCGCTGTAAAAGCTTGCTTCACCCCCATACCCCTGGGGGCTGGCTGGGCTTCACGCACACAGCAGTCTGGAGAGGGCTGCACCGCCCTCTGCCTTGGGAAGGTCCCCACCCGGCCTCCCTCCCGAGGCTCCAGTCTTGCAAGTTTGCCACAGGTCTGAGCAGTGAAAGCACAGGCAGCGGGCCTGCTGCGGTTTCCCGGGCGTGGCCTCTTGCAAGCTGCCCGGAGCCCTCTAGCTCTGTCGTTTGCAATCATTTAAAAGGTCACGATTTCACCGGGTTGGGTCGGTGGCTGGGAGGCAGCTCCGCTGTACCACCCGGTGGCTCAGGACGGTGGCCTGGACTCCAGGGAGGCCCTGGAGGACCGGGGGAGCAGGAAGGCAACAAGATGGAAAGGAATCCTCGAGCCGGGGAGCCAGGCCGTCTGCATGCCGGTGCCTGCAAAAGGCTCCCGGGCGCAGCTGCATTCTGAGGCTGGTTGCTGCTGTTCCGAGAAAGAAAGAAACAAATAAATTTAGCTGCATCCCACGCATCCTTCGCAGCTGCCTTTTGACCAAACAGAAAGAGGCCTCTATTTCAACGATCTGCCTGCCTGACGAGGCCTGCCGCTGCCCTTTAGAAGGGACTTTTGGAGGAAGTCTTGGAGGCCAGCCTCAGTGAGAGCTGCTGAGCCCTGAGGCTGCTCGAGGAGGATCAAGTTCAAATTCAAACTCAGGGCGTGGCTCCTTTTTGCCATCCTGAACAAGATGGCGCTGGAAAGCTTTACCAATGGCTTTGGCTCCTGGAATTCCTCATACATTTCTTTGGAAGCCAGAACATGGGAAGGGCTGGGGGGTGTGGGGGAGGGATGGGGCCAGTCTGGGGTTCCCAGAGCCATTAGTTTAATGGTGCCATTTGTGGAAATAAAGAACTCGCTGACTGAGCTTGCAGTTAAAAGACTGGAACGAGATACTGAGGAGGTCCCTGTGGGACAGGGACAGGCTGTGGACTTGGAATCAGCAGACCCGGGCTCTGGCGCTGTCTCTGCCACCTAAGGCCACGGGTCTCCTAGGAAGTAGAGCTGTACGTTCAGGTATAAGGGAGATGCTGGTCGTGACACTGAAGTCCCCGGGCCTGGGCCCCTACTTGCAAAACAGCACAGATAATTCGGCCCTGTCGGGAGAGAGAAATGAATCACGTGCTGACCTCCCGTCACCCAGCTCTTGGTGAGACAGGGGCCTCTGCCGTGCCTGCCAGAGCCTCCTGCTTACCTCCTGCCACAGCCGCCCGCTCTGTCCTCCCACATTTTTCTAAATGTGGGAGGACAATTTACTCTCAGCTCCTGAAGCCTGAAGCCCGGGCCTGACCACAAGAGTCTCACACACCCTGGCGGTTGTGATTACTTCCTGGATGTGCAAGACACTCAAGCTGGGATGATCAGAGCCAACTTCAGGAGCCCTACGAGGGAGCAAACTCTTTTTGGTTACCAAGAGTCAACTCTTAAGCCTGGTACTGCTGATGGCTTCTTTGTATAATGGGAGAGTTGGCCCGAGAGTGAAGCCAACACAGGGAAAGACAAACAAGCAAAAAGTTGGGCTCCAAGTTCTTCTTCATTTCTGGGCAGCTCTGAGGCCTCCTGGGCAGGCAGCTTTCTCTGCAGGCTGTTTCCTCACCTGTGGGATAAAACAATGCACCGCAAACTTGGAGCTGCGGTGTACGGAGATTCTAAAGTCAGTCAGAAACAAAATCTTAAAATCACTTCACTGGTGCTGGGGATTTAGCTCAGTGGCATAAGCGCCTGCCTGACAAATGTGAGGTCATGAGTTCGATCCCTGGTACAAAAAAAAGAAAAATCACTTCACCTCCTCCCCTCCCTGGAAAGGCAGAGCCACAAGTCTCGGAGTGCTGTCTCGGAGCACAGCCACTGACGACCCTGGTCACCAGCCCTGCCCCTTCAGCTGAGCACCAGTGAGAGAGACTCACCGGGGTCTCAGACTTGTATTATTTTTAGGGGCTGGGGCTGCAGCTCAGTGGCAGAGCGTCCGCATGGCATGTGCAAGGCCCTGGGGTCCCTCCCTAGCTTTGGCTGCAAAATTTTAAACTCTAGACCCAATATTGACACTCAAGTATCCCCCTGAGAGACCAGTGCCTGGAAACACATCCCAATGCGGGTGGTGGTGGATGCTATTGACACTTCATGGGGGCGGGAATGTATTCTCTAGATAACCTTACAGTGCACAGGACCCCCGCCCACGCAAAAACACATAAAGGAGCACCCCCACATTACCATTAAAAGTGAGGAACAGAAATATAGGCTGCAGCTCCTGGGATTCTGGGACGGAGAGAGGGCCCTCATTCTTCGTGGAACCAAAGGGGCATCCACAGACGTCACCCCTCCACCCCAGGGGTGCCCTGGGGACTGTGCCCTTCTCCCCTGGCTTACACACCTGCTGCCCCTCCTGCCCGGGCCTCTCGCCTCCTCCAAGCCCAGCCCCGACTTCCCAGGTCTCTGCCTCCACAAACCCTTGCCCGATGCCCCGAGCAGCTCAGGTGTCCCCAGTGTGTGTACGGAGGACACCAACTCCTCCAAGCCTGGTGTAGCTGTCACCGAGTGTTCCGCTTGGTTCCTTCCCTCTTTGCGAAATCCGGATCCGGTACGCGTGTTTGCAGAGCCCGACTTCACAGTTTATGCCGCACAGCCGCCGTGTGTCAGCACGAGGTCCCTCTCACTCCTTGTCGTATTATTTTCTTTCTTGCCTTTGTCTGTCGTTACCACTTCCCACGGCCTCTCACGAGCATCGGCTCCAGGGCCTCCAGAATAAATCCCTCCGCATGGCGAGCGTGATTCCACGGGCGTGCATTTTAAATGGATGTCCGTGCCCTGTGTCATCTCAGTCTAGCTCCTGCTTTTTCATGTTTCTCTCTACGTCTTTAAGATCTGTCCACGGTGATGAGGTGCCCAGCCAGAGTGTCATCTCTGTGCCACCTGCATAGACATGATCTGGTTCATTCATTTCCCCCTTGGGGACCCCTGGCCCACCATTGGCTCCTCGCTTTGGCATTGTTGGTGCCCACCAGCATGGTTACATCTTTTTCCTTGTGAGTGGGCGCAGCACTGTCCCTGGGCTACACACTGTCGAGAGAGGTTACCACGCCACCGATGGCTGTGAGTTCAATCCCATCCCTCCCAAAAGACAGTGAGTCCTAACGCTAAGTCACTAAGTCCCTCGGAATGTGAGCTCGTTTGGTTACAGAGTCATTGCAGGTGTGGTTAGGTAAGGTGACGCTGGACCGGACTGCAGGGGCCGATGTGACCAGTGCTGTGTAAGAGGGGGACACACTGGGAGAGGGCCCTGTGACGATGGGCGGAGGCT